AGTCCCCTAGCCCCAGACGTTAAGAGGTAAGGTCACTACTTCTCAATAAGTAACAAACAGTCACTGGATTAAATGATCTCCGTACATTACCACCATAAACCATAATTATTTGGCAGCTGCCCTTTGCAAGCTTTGCATGTGCTTATTTATAAATCAAGCCTCATTGATTTACTAAGCCAAAACGTTTTACATTTTGCTCCACTAATAAGAGCCATAATCCTCTGCTGCACTTAGTGATGCTTTAATGGAGTACGTTCCTTAGTACTTTTAATATGAAAGATTAGGACTGATTAGCTCACAAGCAGAAACGCTGCTCTCTGAAAGGCCAATTGGCTGCTGAACCCAGGTCTCTCTAAACAGATCCTTATTAATGGGCTTCTCTGCCTGCCCACCAGAATCACATCGTAATGACATATACAGGAGCTGCTGCCATACTGTTTCTCCTTATTCGTAACATTTAACATAATGACAATGACCTGCATTAATTTAAATGCTGAAATTAACTTAAAATAGCAAGGCCGGAAAATATGGTACTGTGAAGAGTTTTATGTGCGTTGTAAAACTATCATCTAAAATAATAAAGTTACTCTCTTTCAATACAATGACTTCAGCATATAGAAGACTACTTCAGACAATCCCAAAACGTACTTTAAGATCCTGAGCTCTGCAACCTCAGTCTGGCAAGGCAAGGTGTCCTCTCCCTTCTCCCAGGAAACACAATGGGCAAAATCCCCAATCACTCCCAGGCTGTCACCACATACTGACCAACTCCACTTGCACTGATCAGTCAGGGACTGAGAACTTAGTTCTCTGGGTTCCAATAGCTGGAGCCTATAACTCTTTAGTGAGGAAAATTGTATCCAGGCATGCACAATAATTTCCTAACCTAGTTAATTTGTTCCCCAATCCATTAAAACTTCATCACTATCCCCAATAATAATTTAGAAACTTTACTTCTGTGCTTAGGACAAATTCCCGGGCTAGATTTTCATAAATCCTAATTCCAAAACGAACTCCATTCCTCATGCATAAAACAGGAAGACTAGCACCCACCTACTTTCCTCTCTTCACGAGGAACACAAACCCAGGAATTTCAGACTAGAAGGCTCTCTAGCAATTCTATACTATACACTACAAGCCCCTCATTTCAAGGAGGAAAATATTGGGAGGAGACTCACTCAAGGAGCTAAGTTAGTAGCAGAGGCAAGATAAGAACTCAGATCCTGGATTCCAACCAGTACCCCTCCTTTGATACCACCCTGATTCCTGGGATTAGTATGAAAATCTCTCTATCACCAACAGAGCCTCCCTAACAGAAACACTACACGTCATCGACTGCTGTAACTCGTGTTAATACTCTGCGATGCCTTTCAAGTCTAACCACAACAAAGATTGACCATGTACTGTTGCAGAATTTACAATGATATTAGCTCTCTAAGACAGAAAACCATACAAACAAGAATCCTTGTTTAAAAAATAGATTCCACTATTCCCTCTGGAACAACTGCCACCTCTGGTTACAAAGCAATAATTATCCTATCCTACAGCAATCAATAAAACCTCTTGCCCTGTGAACCTGCTATTTCCTGACTTTGTTCTCTGTACTAAAGATTTCCAAGTCATATTGATTACCTACTACATTTTTTTTTAAGTTCTTTAAAAAGAGCACTGAAGAAACACTCAAATTAGCATAACTTGTTACTGTGTGAACAGACTTCAGATCTTTCAGTCACATTAATGGTTTCCTTTTTTCCAGGGTCTTCCCGTTTTTCATTTGGAACTTGTCATTTTAAGTGTGTCTGTGTCTTGCCTAATAGCACAAAGCCAGTAGGATACAAATTTGATGGTGTTTCTGAAGCTGTGACTGCTGCCACATTTTTCTTCCAAGTGAGAAAGAAGAATTGATTAATAAACTATGCCCTCTCTTCTCAAGCAACAGAATGGATTTCTACCAAATGAACCCATTAGCTCTCAGAGTGTTAAAACGCAGTCCCCTGGAACTTCTCTCTCTAAAACTATTCACTAGACAAGCTATTATAAAGTGAGACCATCTTGCATCCTTTCCAAGGGCATTTAGCTGCTCAAGTGACAAACTTTAAGAGTGAGTCATAAATACGATGATGAAAACCTGAGCAACAAGGAAGCAATATGCCAGGGCCACAGCCAGGAGTCAGGGCCTAACTCTTGGTCCCCCCAAGTGTGTATACACCTCATGTAATGAGCACACATCTACCCCTCCTGAGTACGCAGGGTCATATCTATATACGTGCAGAGCTGGGGATGGAGGAGTCTCATTCTCTATCTAGAACTGATATTGTCTGAATACTCCATCAGTACAATTCATCCATCAGGACATTTATGTTATGACAGGCCAGAAATCATAAGAAAATTAAATAATCGAATGTGACATCATATCTTCTCACCTCAGTGGTAGTTTTAATTTAAAACCAGACCTACAAACATCACTTAGGACCAGTTGGGGCTGGGGCTGAGTGAAGCAGGTACCACCAGAAGTATTACAGTGTACTCTTTAGCCCAAAATGTATCTTCTTACCCTATGATTTGCTTATGTGGAACTGGAATGGGAGTTAAAAATAAAGCCTGGCCCCTTAACAACCATTCTCCAGTGCTCACCTGCAAAGCACTCCTCCCTACAGAGGTCAGAAATAAAGGCTCACACATCTAGATAGAGAGCCACAGAAAGTACTAATTCAAAATACAAGACAGCATTTGGGGAAAGCTTAAGCACTCCCTCCCCTGACAGCAGCATTGACTCCTTTGGACTGCCACATAAGCAGCACTCTAACCTTCTTCAGTAGATCACTCAATTACTGAATGAATCTTTATGAGACCTGCACCAGCACAGGCAGCATTTGGCCTCTAGCTGCAGGGCTCACCATCCAGGAAGGTAAAGCATACTCTAGTCAAAGCACCACACAATTAGAAGTACAGTCACATCTAAATGTCCACCAACTGGTGAATGGAGAAACAAAGTGTGGTAGATCCATACAGTGATATATTATTCGGCCTTATATCAGGTTCTTATATCAGAAACCTAACCCCACTGTAACAGTGTTGAGGATGAGAAATCCAATTATGGTAACTGAAAGATGGGGCCTTTAAAATGTGATTGGGTCATAAGGATAAAGACCCAGTGAATGGATTGATCCATTCATGGAGTAATGAGTTGATGGTTTAATGGGTGGTCATGGACATGGTTCTGATGGCTTTACAAAGAGAGCAAGTGAGCAGATTAACTCTCTCTTGCTCAGCCCATTCTCACCATGTGACTCCCTGAGCTGCTGTGGAGGGTTCACTACCAAGAACAAGCCCCTCACCAGATGTGCTCCCTGGATCTTGGACTTCCCAGCCTCCGAAACAGTAAAAAAATAAATTTCATTTATTTATAAATTACCTAGTTTCAAGTATTCTCTTATAAGCAACAGAAACGAACTACTACAAAGGTGGCAAAATGTTCTGGAATTAGATGGTGATCACGGATGCACGACCTTACGAATATACTAAAAGTCACTGAACTATACACGTTACAGGGGTGAATTTTCTGGTATGTGAATTACATCTCAAAAAAAAAAAAGCACAGTTGCAACCGTGACCAATACTGAGGGTTCATGCAGCCGTGTGAGCAGAGACAGGGTCAATCTCGGTGCCAGAGGAAGAGATGGATATGCTCACAGCCACAGGAAGAGGAGGAGGAGGAGGGAGAAAGTGGTTCTCAGCACAGGAGAGCGCAGATGCACAGACCTATAGCAAGAAGGAGAGAAAGAAAGCCCTTCTCTTTCTGAGACAATAAAGGGTCAAGATGTCAGCCACAGCCAAGGCAATGGGTTCAATCCTGACAAATGCCACTCAAACTGCCATTTGTATGACCTCCTCAACAGGCTAACAATTATGCATGACAAAGGGTATTAAAAAAAACCACAGACCACGCCCACCAATCAGAACAATATATAACCTAAAAAGAATGGCAAATTTCAAATACTGTAAAAGGCTAAGGCACTTGCAAATATCAAGGACAAAATGAACCTCAGGATTTTAACTCTAATACTTTACATGTCATTTCAAAATAATAGGCAGCTAGGAACTAAGAGGACATTCCACACACTTGAAAAGTACAACCAAAAGCCTTCAAAGTTCAGTGCTGCCATTATCATATCATAAAACACATGTATGTTCATACAGAGAAATACAGAGAAAAGGGGTTTTGATTCACATTATGTGGCTGAGCTCCATTTCTCACTTACAGGATCAGATGAGTTCCTTTAATGCCTCTGTGATCAGAGCCCATTCTTTTACAGCAGGACCTCATGACCTCAGCACTATTAGCAGCTTGAGCCTGATCATTCTTAGTTGTGGGGCTGTCCTGTGCACTGTAGGAGGAGGTTTAACAGCATCCCGGCCTCTACCCGCTAGATGTCAGTAGCAACTCCCTCTCCCTAACGCCCAACCAAAAATGCATCCAGACATTGCCAGATGTCGCCTGGGGGTGAAACTGCCCCAGTGGAGAACCACTGCTTTGTAGCAACAAAACTGATCTTCTCTATACGAGCTTTGCCCTTTCCCTTGAGAGTGATGTCACTTCTCATCCGTTTGGTTTTCTAAATGCTTCATGCCCTGACAGTTTCCCCACAACAAGACAGATTAGAACTTATTAGAGAAGGCTGTTTAAGACGTTCTATAGCACTACTCAAAATGTCAACCCTCTAAAGCAGAAGAAAAGCAACATAATCAATCACCAAAGAGAAAACAAGACCACGATTCCTGGCACCCCTCTGTCTTCTTCCTACCCTCCAAAAGCAATCTGAGGATAAGGCTCAGATGCTTTCCTCTCCTGAAGGCCACAGCTGGCCCCACCATCAGGGGCAGCTCTGACATGTGAAAATGCACCCACTGCCCCGACCCCGGTGCCCTCCCACTACTGAAGCCAAGAAGCAATCTTGAGAGAGCTGAGGGACCTCTGCCCCAAAGCCGGGAGGGATTCTCTACAAGCTTCTCTCTGCCCCTGCATGCCTACGGGCATCAAGAAGGATGATGGCTTGGAAATCAAAGCCTCCGTAATGTGGCTCACCATCTGGGGGCATCAACACCTTGTTGTTCTGCGTGCACCACCCCACAGGGTGCAGGTCCGCTATGACCACGTCACACCAGAAGTCGGCCCTGCGGTCCTCCCCGTAGCCACAGTAGCGCAGAAGCAGCAGCTGGCCGCAAGTGGTAATGATGGTGGCCACCCAGTACGTGTCTGGGTTGTTCTTGTTTGCCACTTCCAACTTCATTCCCGGCTGGAAGTTACTCTGAATGCTGATTTCAACCTTAAGGAATCGGAAACATAGGAAAGCCATTATTATCCTAGACACACACTTCCAGCAGATGACACAAACTCCTTAAAAAAAAAAAAAAAAAAACTTAAAAACAGTATTTCTGTGGCCCAAGAACCATACTGCACTGTCCAGAGAAAAAAAAGGGGAGCCACAAATGTCATGTTAAATTTTCTAGAAGCCACATTTTAAAAAAAGTAAAACAGATAAAATGAGTTTTGGCAATTTCATTTCACCCTATATATCCAAATTATCACTTCAACATGTAACTAACATAAAAAACATGAATGAGATATTCTACATGGTGCCTTTTGAAAGAAGCCTCAGAAACTTGTGTGTATTCTACACATGAAGCACGTCTCAATTTGGGCTACACACACTTTCAAGTGCTCAAGTTTCACCTAGCGGCTACTGCGTGAACAGCACAGCCCTAGAGAATGGATTTTTTTTTAAGAGACGGGCCATAATAATCATATACAGTGTATATTGACAAAATAAAAAAAAAAGAAAGAAATATAATAAAATAAAATAAATATAAATAAATAAAAATAAATAGTGGATAGAACCAGGACTTGAAAAAAAAAAAAAGAGTTACAATCTAGTGGTATTTACCAGTGCCACCCCCCACCCAAAAAAAAGTTTTCCAGCCTGATGTATCATAATACTCCAAAAGCTGTCCATGAGCAGTTGCTTATGGAATTATAAATTATCAGTCCATGGATCTGATGCTACTTTTCCTTTAAACCTGGACAGAGGCCTGGGGAACTTCTGCATCCTGAAGGACAGACTCCAAGATACCACTTTGACTGAAAGGGAGGTGGGAGAATTGATTGAATCAGAGAGTGTGGGAAAGACTCCATACAGAGAGAAATTGATTACTTCTTGGTACAGAAAAGGAGGGAAAAGGTGTCCAACAATATCTCTTTCTAAACTGCTTAAGGAAACTACCAAATCTCCCCAGTTTTTTTTTTTTTTTTTTTAAAGATGACTAGTAAGGGAATCTTAACCCTTGACTTGGTGTTGTCAGCACCACGCTCTCCCAGGTGAGCGAACCGGCCATCCCTATATAGGAATCCGAATCCGTGGCCTTGGTGTTATAAGCACCACACTCTCCCGAGTGAGCCATGGGCCGGCCCTCTCCCCAGCATCTTTAGATGTAAATGTTAGAGTGGCTTTTGCAGGACCATATCCATGCAGTATGCCAGGAAAGCTTTGATTATGCTGTGTTTATAATATTTAGCCCTTGGTTTTACTAAATAACCACAGTCACATTCATAATAAACTAGTAGTTATAACATGACGAGTATGAGAAGTGGGAATATGATCTACCTTACAAGGTCACACATATATAATAAAGTCTTAAAGCATCCAAATATCAGCAGTTGAAGAAGTCAGCATATCACAACTAAATGAGATTTATGCCCAAGATTAATACCAAAAATCGTATAACTTCGTATAATGTATGCTATACGAAGTTATTACGCGGGGGCAAAGTGTCCCAATTTGATCCCGTTGCCGGTCCCGGTCCGGTACGGGGGCGACACTGAGGGTTGCGATCCGTTGCCGGACACGGAAAAAGACAAAAAAAAGGAAAAAAAAAAAAAAAAAAAAGAAAGTGTCCCAATTTGCTTATGATACTCAGGCTGAATCTTTGCCCTGGGTAGCCCAGTGAAAAAGTGTTTCTCAGAGTTAAATTTCCATTTCCATTAAAACAACAGTAATACCTAAGAACTTGGGTCCCAGTAATTTGGTTTTTTCTTTGCTAATGATATATTACTGATATCTCATACCTAAGCAAAAATCTGATAAAAACTCAGTTTTTTATTTTCTGGGATTTGCCCTCTGGTGGACATGCTATATGCATTATTCAAAGAAATATTATTGGTAAGAATGGTTATTTGGTTGGATCCAAATGTTGTCAAAATAGTTACAGTTATCTCCTCTAATTTGAGTTTTTTATTTTCTGGGATTTGCCCTCTGGTGGACATGCTATATGCATTATTCAAAGAAATATTATTGGTAAAAATGGTTATTTGGTTGGATCCAAATGTTGTCAAAATAGTTACAGTTATCTCCTCTAATTTGACTTATCTACCCACAAACAGTTGTAGAACTTTTGAGTCCTTTCAAAAATCAAAACATCAATTCAAAATAAAAGTATATAGCCATTGCACCTGCTAAGAAGACATTACACATTACACCTGCTTGCCGAGTTTCTGGCTTTTTACTAATTTGAATCAACCTCACCTGTGGGTCCATCTTACCTGCAGCTCTCTGGAGAAATCAAACTAACTTCCATGTCTCCTCTTTATTCCTAAGAAATCCTGGTTCTTCTCCCTCTTTTCTTACCATTCCTTTTCTTCCAATTGGTTCCTTGGCTTCTCCCTGTACATTCCCTTCCCCTCCCACCCTCTACATGCAGGTCAGAGAGCCAAGCTGTTTTACGTACATGTTTGAATGATGTGTGAGGGGCTGCACTTGCACCTGTTTCTTCCAAATACTCTCCCCAGTTAAAGCCAATCTCCTCCAAGCTTGAGCCTTCATCTGTCAAAAACAAAAGAACAGAAGAACATCAGTATCAGAGTGAAGAACGGAAAGGTGCTGGCCTCCACCTGAGATCAACAATCCTAATGCAACAGACAACCTAATTCAATGGTTAGGAAGAGGCTGCTGAAATTCTTTACAGGGCTTCAAATTGCCCATTTTAGAGACATTGACTAAAAGACAGGAAACCCTGGAAATGTTCTAATTTGTCCACCCCGAGTAAGTGAAATGAGACTTGTTTCAAGCGCTTATTTTGCTGCATGGTAGTGCATTAGTTTTAAATAACAGCCACAGCAGACAACCTCAGCCCTTGGGGAGGTTGGAGGACCAGGTAGTGGGAAACAATGAACACTAAGCACTGTGCTAGTCACAGAGCACCGGCACTATCTGTACATTGGCTACTTACTGCAGCCAGAGCTTATGAAATAGCATCCTGATTATTAGTGCCTACTGAGCTAGAGCTCAGACCCTTCAAACCCATTATACAGACTGGGTCACAGACCCCTCATGTGCCAGGTTGGGTCACCAGGCCCCTCCTGTGCCAGATGGGTCACAGACGCCTTACGTACAGGTCACAAGCTAGGTAACTGGACAAAGATCCTGGCAGCCAGTGGCAGAGTTGACTTGCTTCATTCTGACGTGAGTTCATCCCTCAGCTTCCTCAGCAGCAGCAGTGGCCTCCCAGGGCATCCTGGGGGCCCTGGCAGCAACAGCTTGCAGTAGCAACCTCCAGTAGCAGTAGCAGCCCCCCGCCCTGGAGGCAAAGGGGGCTGTGGATTACAGCCGTTCCTCCTTTATACATAAGTCTGATAACCCAGGAACACCTGGGTGTGAATCAGACATCCCAGGAACACCTGATTGCCCACACACATCTACATCAGACAATAACCAAGGAACACTTGGGCACACGTGTAGTTAACATATTTACATCAAATGCTTGGCAAGATTCTGAACAACCAAGGGATCCTCACCATTTACTTTCACTTTCCTTACAGTGCCATAAGGGTCTTCAGATAGCACTGACTCCATAAGTCATTTTAAGGAAGAAAAAAAAAAAATTGAGGCCCAGAAGGATTGCTCAAATGTCTGAGGCTACCAGCAAGTCAGCGACAGGAAGAGACCAGCTGCCAGACAATACCCCAATGCCCACCCAGTCCAACTCCTGCCAGGACAGAGCACTCAGGGCAAGATGTACCCCCAGAAGCCAACAGAATGCGTGCTTTTCCAATCACAAGGAGCAAGAAGAAATCCACCAAAGGCATGACACAGATCTTGAAAGCATGACTATTTTATGCACAGACCCACACACCCAGGCTCTGAAGGAAATCAAGCAATTCCCAAAACATGGCCATTCATGAGATATAATTTGTGTATTTGAAAAGCACCAAATAATACATTTTTAGTATAGATAGCATAAATGTCATGTCATGGTTTCAAATGGAAAGAATAAACTGCAAACATTATTTTAGCTTATTTGCAAGGCTATCATAAGGAAAGAACTCATACCAGGAAGAGCTGTCCAAATATGCAAATATGAGCTTCAAAAGTTTAGGTTCTCCTCTCTTGCAGTAATGCTCAATAGACGTTCAACCCACCCATATTCTACAAGCAAGAGCCTATTACCTGGCCACGAGTAAAATATTGCTTCAAATCATGTGATTAGCGTGGACGTGGTATATATCGTATCAGGAGGGCCTGGGGAATCAGGGCCACGAGGCCCTAAGAAAGCAAGCCTTATTTTGGATGCTATCACTAACTTTCTTCTAGTAGATATTTTTTAATTTAGGAAGGAAAAGTAATTCTCATAATACTCCATACAGTCTCAGAAACTGCTAGAAGAGGATAATTTTTGTAAAGTCAGAAGACGCCAAACAAAAAGGTGGTAGCCTTGAATGATGCCTTCTAAGTCAAAGGGGCTCAGAACTGCCTCCTCAAATTTTACTCCAATAAGGTGACTTATAATTAAACGCCCAAGAAAAAAAGAAAAAGCCATCTGAAAAGAAAGCCTTTCCTTTGTATCTCTCCCAACATTCTGCTCCACCCAGGGCATTATGCCCTTCAAGCAGAAACGTGCTCCCCGAAAAACGTCAAGGTCCTGCAGCCCCAGCTAAGGAGGGACAATGTCAGGAGGGTTAGAGCTGCAAAGACAGTGAAGCAACCCCAAAGAGAATGCAGTCATACTGCAGAAAACTCCGCAGGGTGGCACAGATGCCCTGCCCGCGCTACTTCCCCGGATGTCAGGAGGGTTAGAGCTGCAAAGACAGTGAAGCAACCCCAAAGAGAAAGCAGTCATACTGCAGAAAACTCCGCAGGGTGGCACAGATGCCCTGCCCGCGCTACTTCCCCGCAAACAGCACTGGGCATCTGTTACCAAACTTGCTTTCCCATCCACTCGCCAGAGGCGTCAATCCAGCCCTAGTCATCTGCCGAAGTGCCCTGGTGTAGACAGTGTCTGACAATAGCGAACCTGCTGGAGTGATCCACCCACCTGTCTGGCCTTGGCTGGAAGCACACCCTACCTGCTCGAGCTGGTGGGGATACTTGCAGCTCCGCAAAGCAACTGCACACCCTCCTGCAGCGTCCTAAGAGTGGGCAGATCAGCTGTCCACGAAGTGCTTTACATGAGTCTGAGCTGGTGGGGATACTTGCAGCTCCGCAAAGCAACTGCAAACCCTCCTGCAGCGTCCTAAGAGTGGGCAGATCAGCTGTCCACGAAGTGCTTTACATGAGTCACCTCCTAGCCCTTCAGCATCCCCGGATAGATGGATACACACAGACGAGATCACGGGAGCTCAGAAAGATTAGGGAGTCACCCAGAGTCACAGCCATGCAGGATCCGAGTCAGGAATCAATGCAAGCTGCCAGACTCTGCAGCTGGCGCTCATGTGAAGCACCTTCCACCTGATTCCCTGCCTGTGTCATGCATCAGATTCCCCATCTCCACCCCCACGTGCTTCTCCACCTGCAGGAGCCAAGAGAGCTTATAGGACTGACTCAGCTGCCTCTCTGTGCTGGTGAACGCTGGGACATTCCACAGCTGAATTCAGGCAAGGGAAGACACAGGAGACGGGGCCAGGTGGGAGCAGCAGCCACCCCTGGAGAGGACAGAACTGGTGAGGAGGACAGAGAGAAAGGGCAGAAGACGTCAGCCTGAAACTCAGTCCGGCCTATGGAAGGAACAGATCCAGGCAGGGCTCCCAGGTGGAAGTCGTCTGACAATGACAGCTGTTGAAGATGGAACAGGTTCTCTCCTTGAGAGATTAGTTCCTCCTCAGGAGAAACACTCAAATCGAGGCTGAGCCGTCAGGAACAGCCAGTACCTGGGCTGAGCGGCCCTGATGAACCTCAGCTCCATTACCCAGGAAGGTCCCATCATTCTTCCTCTCAAATCAGGGATGACCAGAGCCCAAGTTTCTCAGCTGTGACCTTGAAACCATTTGCTGCAGCTCTTTGTTCTCCATACAATTCTAATCTATGCTATTAGTGTTTCACCAAAAATTCTGTTTCTACCAATTTTTGATTCATTCCAAACTACACTTTCAGTCTCATCTGGCGATATAATAGGTTCTGCATTCTTTGGGGTGCACTCACTAACTCAGGTTAACCATGAGGTCAGAGGGGACCACTGTGTGCTCTGGTGGGAGTTGGTAAGAACAGTTTTGCCACTCTCTGCTAGTCTAAAGAAAACACTTTACGAAGTACCCCAAGTCACACCTAGCATGGGACTGAACAAATAAAAACCTTTAAGCCTAGCACTGAGGACTTTCACCGTGCTGTTTTAACAAAGTCGTATACAAAATTTAGGGTTCCTCACAACACAGACTTTTAAAATCTGCCACATGCCACCCTTCCACAGGCCTGTGTGCCCCCCAGCAGTTGATTCTCTAAAGACATTTCAATGAGCAATAGATAAACATACACAATGTTTATGAGGAGAGGTCTCATAAACCCAGAGCAAATATTTACAGCTGATTCATAAACCTCTTAAGCCCATAAACATTTTATCAAGGCAACTCTGACAACCTCCCTCCACTGTAAATGAACCAGCGGGAGGCATTTCCGCATGATGTCATGAACACCAACTATGAAAAGCTGCTAAGAAAATGTCACAGTTTAAAAGAAAACAGGAATGCTCATTAGCAGCCATCCAGTTTTAGAAAACAGAAACCTATTTGTGGGACCAGAATATTTCATAATAAACCTAAAAAGAATACTTTACTAAAAGTTAATTTCACATGACTTCAGAGTGAAACATAAACAAATAGCTCATACATCTTTTTTATTTTTTAAGTAATAAAATCTTGGGTTTGTACAATTTTACAAGCTGAAAGGAGGCTAACTTCGCAAGGCTGAATAATAAAGCCCAAAACCACTACCCAATAAAGGAACCAAGAATTAACAGAGTCAGCACACTTTCTTACATGCTAGATATGTTTTAAAATGTGGAAAGAGAAAGGAAGACATTAAATGACTCATTTTAAATACTGACAGTCATTTCATACTATCATAAGGCTTCGGAAATAGTTCAATTGTGACAATATTAAACAGAGGCAACAGTGTAAACAACTCAGAAAAGAACTATGGCCAACTGCTGACCCTAGATCTGAGCCCGCAGCTAGCTGCAGGCCATGGGCAGGGACAGGTATCGTAACACATAGTCCTATCCTGATTACCCAGACAGCCAGAAAATTCTGTAGGAAGAAGAAAAGAAAAAATACTTAAAAATCACCTAGCCAGGGGAAGCAGCAGCTATTCAAAAGAGGGTTAGAAAAAAGTAATAGTGTTGAGTCACACAGAATTAGTTCCCAGCATAAAGAGGAAGATCTGAATTTCTCTAAGAAAAATGTTGATTCCTTTCCTTCCCAAATAGAAGAGCCTGTGGTTCTCCAGTTAATATATTCCTAACACCAAAAAAAGAATCAAGCCTACATTTTCAACCTCTTTCTACACAGAGGCATGCCCAGTCGAAACGTACACCACCACCTTAGCTAGACTTCATC